TGCATGAGTCTTCGAGTGTCGCTGCACTTGGAAATAGCAGCTTCATGTAACAAGGATATTAGTGTGGCAACTCTCAGCAAACAGGAGCTCCTTGTGTTGTAACCTCCTGTGATGTTAGTGGAATTGAGTAAACGATGTCTAAAGCGCTTGTAATACCTGTGAAAGGCACTGGCCTGGGTTGAGGAAATGTCATCATTGAATCTCTTCCATTCAGATGAGTCACTTGAGTCATGTTATGAGAGTTTCCACTTCGAATCTAGCAGACGAGCTGGTTTAAAGAATCCTATAAAGGCAAAGGTGGGAGGAGTGCTTCATTTAAGAGTAGGGAAAATTGCAGATCTGTCCTCTTGCCGCAGAAGACGGCACAGATTCCCCTAGAACATTGCTGCAGCCGTTCTGTTCCGCTGACTGGGATAGAGCATTGCTTCCAGTGCCCTGTGCACCGTCAGTGATGCTGTTCCAGCAGCCTTCTGGATTTATCGCTCTCTCCCTGCTCTAAGCATTCTGTAAAAGTATTCGGTTACAGTGAGGCAATGATAGCTTGGATTTGGTCTCTTTGTTGTGTTTTCTTAGGTAGATCACACAGGTTTTTTTACCTCTAAATGTAGACACACTCACTGGTGACAGGCTGCACTGCAGCAAATACTGACTTGCGTGTAACCTAAGTACCATACATCTTAAAGGAAACTTTTTAGGCTAGCAAAGTGCTTTTTGATTCCTGTCAAAACATACTGCTGGTCCAAATGTGATGTATTTCCAGGCTTCAGAATACTTGATTAAGAAAACCAGAGCATGTCAAAATGCAGCAAAAAGACCCGATGGCTGTGGGCGCTGTTAGTGTTGTCCCTGTGATGTGCACCACTAGGATGGTGCTCCATTCCAAGCAGTCTTTTTCTTGTAGTATGGAGGTGTTGCCTTTCTGAGTATTTGCCAGACCTGAAAATCCCTTACAGGATTCCACTGAATAGGAATGTATTTATTTTAACTAAAAATAATTAGCTAAAAGATGCCGATCATGTACATTTGTAGATCCAAATGAGCAAATCCTCTAAATTAGGAAATTATTATTGTGAATATGCATAATGCATGGATTACAGGGTGCTGTTGCCGTGGCCAGGTATATGCTAAAATATGAAGAACAAATATGGGAGTTTTGGACATGTAGCACCACCAGAACAATTTCCGTATGCATGGAGACCTCCAGTGATTCAGACAAGATGAATCTGTCGTGAGGAAAAAGCTGGGTGCGGGCTCGAGTGGTGTTCATCCCTGAACATCCACAGGTCCAGCAGGAGTGAAGGACGTTGTTCTGGCCACAGGTGAGGGTTCAGCCTCACCAGTAGAGAAGAGACTTCAGGTACCCCAGAGCTGTTAAGTTTGTAACTGCTCATGTCAGGAGGAAACCAGCGGTTGTGATGTTGGGTGACTTCCTTCTGAGGCTGATGGGGAGGGTGTATCCAGTGATCAGATCTGACATCCTGACCTGTCTCTGTCTACCCAGCATTTAGAATCTGAGCTGTTTCTGAAAATGTTTTGAGGTCCATAAACAAACTATCGTCACCAAAAAAAACATAAGGTGGTTGAGGCTTTTTGTGAGCATCCGGCAGGATCCTCTGGAAGTCTGTGGTACCTGCCTAGATGTTGGATGTACCAAGCAGAAGGGACTTCAGCAGGTTTGGGATCTCCTGGTGACCGTTCTGCACATAAAAGGCTGTGAGCAGGAGAGAGTCTTACGGGGTGGATCCTAAGCAGAGGGAAGGAAGGAAGTGGTTGAGCACACACAGCTGAAGGACACTGTTTGACAGAGGGGTCTTCCACGTTGGGTCCATGTAATGTCAACAGATCTCGGGAAAGATTCAGGCAGGGAGAGTTTAATGATAGGCTTTTCTCAGGAAAGAGATACTGAGATCAAATAAAACTCCTGAAATAATGTATGTATTTGTTGGTGTGTGTGTATAATTTTCAAGCTGTTTTGTTTTTTTTTAGGGTAGGGTTTATAGGAAGCACTACATTAAATGACGATTTTTTTTCCACAGGATTGCAGTTTTCTTGTGGATTTTAGGCATAAGTATGCAGAAGGGCAAAGCATAAAATGGGATTCAACTAGCAAGAAACACTGAAAAAAAAAGTCTAGAGTGACAGAAGTATTTAGAGGAAGATAAAGGAAGAGTTGATCTGTTAATCCACAGAAAAAGACCATTATCCACAGGTGATGCCAGAAAGGTCACCTACACTAAATGCTGTTGCAGTAGCACAAGTGGTAAAGGGCCAGAGCCCCAGCCCCTAGCACAGAAGGGAGAAGCAGGGAGGATACCGAGGAAGGACGGGTTATCCCACTCCATCATCCACCTGCTTTGTCTTCAGTGTGGTTTTGTCAATGACCTCGATAATTATCTGGGAATCATGATTATTAAACTTGCGTCCAAGAAAGGCTGTGATTAAGCTGGAGCACAGAACTAGAACTTGGCGAATGAGTAAAACACCAGTCAAAGGAAGGATAAATCAAAGCCTGACAGTAGAACATTCAGCTCTGACTAGAGAGCGACTTACGATGTAGCAGTCCTAATTAAAAAGATCTGGGAGTTACGGTGAGGTAAAAGCAGAATGTACCAACAGTGTTTTCTGTGGAAGAAATAAAAATACGTACAATTCCAGATGGTGTTTAAGCAACAGTATATCCTGGAAGATCAATACAATAATCCTGCAGCTCTAGGTTAAAGCCCTAGGTGAAATACTGGACTCAGCTCTTGGGCTCCGTGCTCTGGTAACTTGGTGCCAATTGGACTGTGCCCAGAAGGGAGCACCAGGAAGGTCTAGGAAATAGGATTTACAGAGACGGCTTGAATAAGCGGGAATTGTTTTGCCTGAAGAGAATTCTAAATGAAGGCGTATATTCTCAGCTGCACTAGGGAAATCTGTTCTCCTGTGACCGTGACAAATAGAATAAACAGTCGTGGGCTGGCGTTACACCAGAGAAGGTTGAGGATTGGGGGAGAATTTCTCATGGTAAATGTTGTGGAGCGCAGGAGCTCCAGAGGTGTTTTAGGTCTCGGCATTTCAGCTTTTAAGGGCACAGCAGACAAAGCTGACAGCGGGAGAAGTTGTAAGTAGATGATTTCCAGTTCAGTAGAAATAAAATACTACCATTGCTAGAAAGTATTCAAAACGATCTAAAACCACTGAAAGAAAACCTTTTTTAAAGCTTGGATTATTTTAAACCTTTTACATATGTAAAAATAACCCCAAATACCTAAGGCAAATAACTTGAATGTGTGTACATACATATTCACAAGGTGAAAGAAGCAGCTCATTTCAGAGATGGATTTGGATTGCTTGCAGCTGTGTCTGACAAAGCTGTGCTCTCCAAGTCCTTGAGCCCTTGCTGCTGGGTGTGCTGAAATGTCCTTCTCTGCTCTTGAGCTGAAGTACGGAATCTCCATAATATCCACTGCTGCTTCACCACTTAAAAGTACTATTAAGCTTGCTTTTAGATGGTTAGTTTTACCTTTTGTACTTAATTTTGTAAGGCAAGAGAAGAGGTAAAAGGTAGAAAACTTTTGTGCTGTGTCTTTTAGTTCTTTTCTGTGCTTCTCCAAGGCCTTCTCCCCATGCCAGCAGCCCTAGTCCTCCTCACAGAGCTTTGTACTGGGGTTGTCACGGCAAAAATTAGCTCATGGGGTGCTCCCTCTGATATTTTAGCCGTGCAATGGTAGGCTGTATGGTGGCGTGGTTGTTTGCTCCATTTCCAGGAAGCTTCACGGGATGACTAAGCGGCTTCCCCTGGAGTGCCTTCGTGTTACAGAGAAGAAGACAGTTATGGGCCTGTCCTCATTCCAGTCCCCTGTAGCCAGGTCCCTCCCTAAATCTCTGGTTTGTTCCTGCAGTGGTCACAAATAAATGCCTAAAGAAAAGAAAGAAGAGAGCGGGCACATATGTAGTGCTTCTCAAAGTACTCAGCCTCCAAGCACTTTTACTGTGGGGATTTTCATAGGTAGATGTAGTTCCTGCATTCTTTAGCTCGTACAGGAAGTTTCTTCCATGTACTTGTTCAGTCTCTTTAGGCCTGTATGAATTCTGTGTGTCCACATCCTCTCGGCTTTCTCAAGGCCCGTTGCCTTCTGGTGGGCTCTTCTGTTGTCTTTGTACCACCCCACTCGCATTCATTGTGGGAAGTGATGACGAACAATCGGTTCCTGTCCGTACTGTTTGGGCCACTTGTGACTTCATCGAAATTTGCCGAGTCCAACACAATGATCTCCTTCGGTCCCATCCTGACTTTAGGCTTTCCTTAAACTTTTGCAAGCTTTTATACTGATTTGAGGCCAAAGTTCCATGTGAGGAAGCCACAGATCTGTACAGTCCTGGTGCAAATCAATCCATTGAACAGCAGAGATCTGTGTGGAGCACCATGGTGGTGTCCCTCTGTGTCCCTCCTTTACACGTAAAGGTAAGCTCATAGCAGGCAGAATCACCTGGTAACAGCAGTGTCCAGGACAGCGGATTGTGGAGCGGGATTTGTGCTTCTAAAATTCTTGGCAGTGTGGTGGTTGTAATTCAAGGAACGGGCTGGTTACCTTACAATCCTTCTGCTGGTGCTCTGACATGGCAGCAGATGCTCCTCGGTCCAGCTGACTGACGCTCTAAAAGACACTTTCCAGAAGGTGCTCTAGGACAGTGCTGCTTGCTCACTCACTGTGTCTGGACATTCCTATCTTCACCTCTAGAATAGGTAAAGAAATGCTAAACCAGGCTGGTCTCCTCTCCTTTCTGTTATCTTTGGCACCCAGGGCCTCACCAGAGCATTGACAAGTCCTGGGCAATGTTTTTCTCCACAGGATGGGAATTGGAACTCGTGTGACTGCAAATCCATGTGTGCCTCTAATGGACATGTAGACCAATTTAAAAGTTCTTATTAATTGAAAAATTAGTAGTTAATTATTAGCGTCTCAGTTAAAAGGTGTAGCAGAAGAATTAATAAGTTGTCGCTTTGTTTTTCAGCTATGGCAGCCATTCGAAAAAAGCTGGTCATAGTGGGTGATGGTGCCTGTGGAAAGACCTGTCTGCTGATCGTATTTAGCAAAGACCAGTTCCCTGAAGTGTATGTTCCCACCGTGTTTGAAAATTATGTAGCAGATATCGAAGTGGATGGAAAGCAGGTATGTGAACACTTCTGTAACAGAATCGACTTGCGTTTGTTCAGAATAGCATGGAGACCTCTACGCTTCTTTAAAAGTACACGTGCTTAGTGCTTATGTTGTGAGTATCTTCTGAAATATTAAGCATGTTCTTCTGGAAAAAACACTGGCTTTTCTAGAACCTGCTCGTATTCAATGTCTGTTTAGCAACCTATTTCTAACCTTGCACAAGTTGAGATTCTAAAAGACACACAGTTATTCCAAGTAAAATGTTGCAGTAGGTGGGAGGGGACAGAGCGTCTCAAAGCTGAGGACTCTAGGCCTTTGGAGTCACGTAGTGGGCTCCCTGTTTTGATAGGGACTTGGTGTTGTGAGTAACGACGACGAGTTCCTGGAGAGTCTCTTTTCACGCTCACTCCTGGCAAATGCGCAGGATCCTTTTCAGAGGAGAAGGCTGACAGGCTTCAAAAGGATTTGGTTTTCGTAGTGTACATCAGCATCATCTGTCCCGCTTGTCTGAGGAGTGCAAATCTTAGTGGACAGGTGTACCCACAGCTCACTGAGCTTTGTTCTTAGTTTGTACTTCAGTAGATTAATCGTGAAAGTATTTAATTTTAGTTTTAAATATTTTGAAAATCATTTTTCGATCTGTGACGTCCAAGTCCTTTTGTTTGCTAAACAAGCCATGGCATCTGTCTTTTTGTTACTGTAACCACACAGAGCTGCCCTCAGTGCCTTGTGTCAAGCACGCGTGTGATGCTGAGGGTGCTGAGCTTCCCTGCCCGCCCCTTGCTTCAATACGTGCCTCTGCTCTGCGCTCGGGTAGAGGCAGAACATTTTTCAGTCAGTTCTAGTTCAGATGCAGTGACAGAATGATTGAAACTGCTCTGTTTTGATCCTGATTTGAGCAGAAACCTTTTGAGGGAGTTTTGGGCTTCATGGTAAATTTTATTTCCAGGCATGGATTATTTGTGGTTTTAGTCTTGATAGTTCATGCTGTTTGAGTCTGTATAAAGAGCTTTTCTCTCCCATGATATCAATGGGTAAAAAAAAAAGTAATGACTTTTAGACTAATATTAGAACACATCTTGCCCCAGGTGACAGTTTCTGCAGTTTCTATATTGTATTTTAGACTCGAAGGACTATTGTCTAAGATATGTATGACAGCAGTTTCTCTCTCATCACCTAGTCAAACTTCCTCCTTCCTTTCTGCCTGAATCTCTGCATCTCTAAATGGGCGAACAGGGAGTCGTGCCCTGTCAGCTGTATGCAGTTGGTATCTAAATAAAAATTGCATGAGCAGCTTGAGCAGTGCATTTGCCGTTGTGGAAATGTCAGCTGATGTTTTTCTGTAACTAGAGGACATCATTTATCTAAGCTCTGTCTTCAGAAAACTCGATTACAAAACTTGGTGGGAGAGCGGTGCTCAAGACCGTTCTGTCTGACAGCCGCTTACTTCTGTTTTCTCAGAAGAGCATGACCAGAAGTGTTTAGAGGCCGTGTGAAGACAAAACGGTGATGGTATGAGATGTGTTTTGTTAGACAGGGCAAAGCAGCTGATTCCAGTGTCAGTGAAGGAAGCCTCAGCAGATGGCTCTTTAAAACACAGGGATGTTTGCCGCAGGATTCACACTTGCGTGTGCAGTGGTGACTGAGAGGACGACTTCTGACTGAAATGCAGAAGATGTTTTTGTATACGTGTGCAACAAAGGCTTTGTATCTTCACCGTTTAACCAAGCAGTTGCGTTGCGCGTTCAAGCTCACATTTGGGTTCCAGTTCTGCCCATCTGTTTTTATCTGAGCTACTGTGGACTTTTTTCCCGGAATTTTTGAACGTAGGACTTCAAACAAGAAGAAACCCGCTCCATTGCGAAGGCAGATGTACCGGAGAACCTTAAGCAAGACTGCACCTTAATAGCTTGATTGTATTTTTTTAATTTCCTTGTTTAAATGTTGGCCATTCCTTCCACTGTTTTAAGCAACCCTACTGGGGTGTTCTTCCTAGTTCCGCTGTCAGTAGGAACATTGAGAACATCAGCTACGTTATTCAGTTCTTAGTAACAAGAAGCTTTACACACAAACCGGGTTCATTTCAGTGCAAATTGCGAGTGTGAATTTCTGATGTGAATGAGTTTTAATTCATTTGTGCACAAACAATCACAGTCTTGACACTTTGTCACTAGAGGTTCCAGCTGTAAACCAATTGAAAATGTGCATAATCCTGAAAAGCATACACGTAGAGAGTCCTCTTTCACTGAAGAATCAAAGGGAATCGGCCCCACATGGCTGGGAATCTCTCTGATAAGCATTCCAGAAATACCCGTTCTCAATCGTGCTTTTCTGCTGGCAGCTTTTACATCCTTTCAGAGAGTTGACACTGGTGATGGATATAAAGAAGAGCCTCAAGTTACAATAAATTGATTTTTTGTAGTTATGGATCATCAAGTTTTTTATAGTTCTCATGTTAAAGCCGTTTGTCTCGTAGTTTCCTCCTTCTGAGTGGTTTTGACTGAAATACTTTACTCCCTTCTCTTGGTTTACTGGCATCCAAACTTCCCCAGTGATCTTCTAACTGCCTTATTTTTCTTCTGCAGGTTGAGTTGGCTTTGTGGGATACAGCAGGACAAGAAGACTACGATCGACTTAGACCACTTTCTTATCCAGATACTGATGTTATACTTATGTGTTTTTCAATTGATAGTCCTGATAGTTTAGGTAGGTAGATCACCGACTGGATCGGAACCACTTCTCTGTATCGCTGTATTCCCCTTGGAAATGGTGCTGTCAAATATATTTTCATGTGCTGTAATGATTGAGAGCGTTCCTGCTTTCAAAATTTATACTGATTTGAATGTATAGTTTTCAGATATTAAGGTCTTAAAGGAACTTGTATTCTTCAACAATGCTTTAATACATCTCAGTAGCACTTTCTTAAACAGGTGAATTTCAGATTTACAGAATCACACAATGTTAGGAGTTGGAAGGGACCTCGAAAGCTCATCCAGTCCAACCCCTGCCAGAGCAGGATCACCAGACCAGGGCACACAGGAACACGGCCAGGCGGGTTTTGAATGTCTGCAGAGAAGGAGACTCCACAACCTCTCTGGGCAGCCTGGGCCATGCTCTGGCACCCTCACAGTAAAAGAGCTTTTCCTCATGTTCAGGTTGAACCCCTATGCTCCAGCTTGCACCCATTGCCCCTTGTCCTGGCATTGGACATCACAGAGCAGAGCCTGGCTCCTTCCTCCTGACACTGCCCTTTACAAATTGATCCCCATGAATGAGGTCAATGTCAATTCTGTAAAAATTCCCCTATCCACTTCTCACCAGTGGGGTTTGTTCACTAGTGGCTGTCTGTGAGGTTTCCTATTAGAATGCAGATAGTGCAAAGGTAGATCTTTAGGCACTTCAGTTCTGTGTATGTGCTGGGTCCTGCACTTGGGAAACAACAACC